CGTGGTGTGAAGGTGTGTGTGTATGTGTTTGTTTAAGCTATGCATGTTGCAGACACCACCTTTGTTCAGCATGCAGTGTGGGAAAGGTGCCTCTCTCCCTCCTGTGCCCACGCACATCTTGGCTGAAACCCAATAGCAAGTCACAATCAGAGTTGGCCCATTCAACCAGGGGAACCCTTGGAGAAACTGGCCCGCCGAATCCGATCAGATTTACCCGGCCTATTCCAATTGCAGCTTACTGTTGGATTTTAGCCATTGTTGAACAACTTCTATTTTGCAATAGTTAACAAGGGTGTGGGTCTGTTTGTCCTCTTCCATGTCTTGAATGCTGCTGTCCATTTGTGGAGGTCCTGAAATTCACACTCAAACCTGGAGTGGATTCACCACCCCCGTGGAACTGGAGCCGCCTGCCTCCCCTGCTAACTCTTTGTCTCTTTCTGGCCATCACGCCCACAGTAAGTCCATGATGTAACAGAGACTGAAGGACAAACAGCCAGTGCATAGAAATAGGGACATCTCTTGGTCAAAAGTGCTGGTAAAATATTAGAAACATACAATACATTTATGAACAATTTGCTCAAATTTTATGATCTCTAGAGCCAACATTAATTATTTCATTAAAAGAGAAAGCAAAATGAGATGTGGGAGGTGAAGAGGTCCATCTATGTGTGACCATTTAGAAATTAAAAGGATGTAGTATTGTGAAACTTAAAGAAATAATCAGTGACTTTGGAGAATTAGCAGGTTTAATTATAAATGAAGGACAAACTAATATACTGACAAAAAATATGACAGGAAAAGAAGAGAAAGAATTGGAAATTAAGACAGGTTAAAAAGTAGTGAATAAAGTAAGATACCTGGGTATAACAATAACTAAAAAGACAAAGGGCTTATTGAAAGGGAAAGAAATTAAGAAAAATTTAGAAAGATGGAAACACTTAAAAATTCCATTGATGGGCAGAATAGCAATTATTAAAATGATGGTATTACCTGTGTTCATATTCCTATTTCAGAATATCCCAATAGTGTAATAATAAATAACAAATCATTTCATTTGTGGAGAAAACAACTCTCAAAATTTATTTATCACTTATTCCAAGTGGATTTAGGCTTAAATTAGAAGCAGAACTGCTCTCAACAGAAGTAAAAATAAAGTAAAGCAGATTTTTAATATGGCTATAAAATAAGAATTAAGAAAAATATTATTAAGATTGCGAAGAAAATGTTTAGTGGAAAATAAGGAAGTAAAAATGTTAAAGACTTACTGTATTGCAAAAGAGATAATCAAAAGTTATTTTGGTATTGTGATAATTATTTACTTATTTTTATAATTTCTTTTTAAAAATGCAATTTAGATTAAAAGTTAAAGAAAGAAATGAAACGGATGTGTGCCTTCAAACATTTCCTGTACCCACTATGATTATTTTAATTTAGTCTGGGATAGGAAATACCCCACATTCAACTGAGAACAGTCTTAAAAGTAGCTGGCATTTTTTTTCTGGCTATGCAGAAAAGCAGCTGATGATGAAGAGCAGAAACAGCTGCTATTGGGGGCCCATGATTAGAATGGCAAGGCTGGTGCTGAAGAGGGTGCGGAGGTAGCGCACACGTTCTTAGCTGGGGTGAAAAGAGTTGAGGTCCTCCTGGCACAATGACAGACTTCCATAAGGAATTTTAAAGTGCCTCTCCCCTCACCAGCTGATAGACTGACAGAAAAAAAAATCTTTCCCTCCAAAGTCTCTGTAATAATTGGGATAAAATGTCTCTACAGTCCTTTTCTCCTTGAGAAGCAAAGCATGCACACACGTGCACACAACAAAGATGCAAAAAAAACCCAAACCTTTAAGTGGCTTCAGATTCTTAAACAAACTAGTGGTCATCCCAGTTTTGGGGCAATTTGTGCTTCAGATTCTTAAACAAACTACAGTAGTGGTCATCCCAGTTTTGGGGCAATTTGCAGAACTGTGTGGATTGTAATATTCTGTGCAAAATATAGTTCTTTCCAAGCTGGCGTCTCTGTTAAAAACGCTGGTCTATTCCTTGCCTCTTAGGGTTGATAAGAGAATGGTATAAAAAATGGTATATAATGTATTTGCAAAGGCTTTCATGGCCGGGATCTAATGGTTGTTGTGGATTTTTCTGGCTCTTTGGCCGTGTTCTGAAGATTGTTCCTCAGAACACGGCCAAAGAGCCTGAAGGTTGAAGATGCTGGCCACAGAGACGGGCAAAACGTCAGGAAGAACAACCTTCAGAACACGGCCAAAGAGCCTGAAAAACCCACAACAGCCAAACAAATGGTGTAAAAGTTGAAAAAGCCCGTCAAAATGCCTCTAAAAGAGTAAATACATGTCACCTCCTCTGTGTCTGAAGTGCAGTTTGACTGCTACTTTTAAGTGCAAATTAGCTAGTAACTGTACCCTCCTTCCCTTAAAAGTAACCAGTTACAGGTAGTGACAGTAACTAGCTGTGAGCAAAGAAATGAGTGAAATTAAGGAGGTGCATTACTTCAGAACTGTGGCCTTCCAGATGTTTTTGGCTTGCAACTTGCATCAGCCCTAGCCAAAGTGGCCAAAGGTGAGGGATGATGTTATCTCTTTCTGGAGATGTTCTGCAATCCCAGAACATCTGGTGCATAGTTGATTTACGGTACCTAGCTTGGTAAACCAGCTCCAGGTTGAATTTCAGCCAGCTTCCCATCATGTGAACAGGGAGCATTGATCAGAGCCTTCATCTTTCTTTCTTCTGTAAAAGTGTGTGTTTGTGTGTGTGTGTTTTCCCTCTCTCCTCCTCCTTTTCTGTTTTGATTCAGAACACTTCTATTTCTGATTGTTTCTTTTTTTAAAAGAAAGAGCTTTTTTAAAATAAGAAAATCTTGCTTCACGTGTGCGGCACCCTGTGACTTACTAAAACAGTGTGCTATGATTACACGTCTCCTCCTACACCCCAAACTCACACGCTGGCGCCACTTGTCATTCCCCTTTCGTGGGAAAAAAGAAGAAAATAAACCTCCTCTCCCCTCCCCCCAAAGCAACAAACCGTCTCTTTTGAAGTTCCCATGTAGGAGCTCATTCAGCCCCAAACTTCATGGTTTTCCTTGCAGGATCACAGCCTTATGGGGCACCCCAGATCGCAGGCCTGGATCCAGTGTGGCAGGAAAGGCTCAAAAGAGTTGTAGAATTGGGGCATCTGTTGTGGTTTAGTGATGAGGGATCCATCAAGGGAGCACCCCTGTCAGAGGACATGGCCAGGGTGGTCCCGGTGGTTGTGCTCTATCCACAAAAAGCTCTCAGAAGACCTTTCAGATCCCAGAGATCCCCCCCCCACTCCCGGTCAGCAGCTCATTTGTGCTAGGCTGAGGCTGGCTGAGAGGCATCATGGCAGACAAGCCCATGGCCAGCAGAGGGGCCCGGCTTCTGTAGGTCACAAGGCTATGTTGACAAGGCTCTGTTGAGTGTTCCTCTGTCTACTCATGTCCAAAAAACTTAGTAGCTGGGGGTGCTCTGATTTTGAAGAAGCAGGGGAGAGGGTTTGCCTTTTGGACATTGTGCCTGTTGTTTGGGTGATGGGGGCCATACTTAATGTGCTGTAGGCCCTGGTTGATCACTGGTGGGAAGGGCTAGTCTAAGGCTGAAATCCTACACTTAAAGAATACTGTAAACCAATGAGGGAGCATGGATCGCATCAGACTGCCCTGATAAATCTATGGCTGCCTATGTGTTTTTCTATCTCTTCATGGTTCTGTGCCAGAGTTTCTACTGTGCTGGAGAATTCGGCATGGAAAGGGAACTGAAAGCCATACACCTGTCTCTGTGGCGTGATGGGTGGAAGGACCACCAGTGCTTGTTCAAGTCCGGACTTCTCTTAGGGGACAATGAGGGTGAAGCAAGATTTCTGGTGGTTAAGAAATGGAGCTTTAGCTCCCTGCAAACACCTTCTCCCTCTTTCAGGGAGAGAATCGGTCGCTTGGGGGGGGGGGGAAACCTCTAGGGTTCAGTTCCTGGGAATCACTCCTGTTCCAAGCAACGGATGGAGCTCTCTGGCTGGGTTCCTGCAGGCACCTGCCACTGCTCGTTCTTTCCCAGCCTGGTGGCCTCTAGGTAGGACAGACTACGATTCCCATCCTCTGACATTGCCAGCTGCACACAGCTGGATGCGTGCAACCCAGCATACTTTGGAAACAGACAGGTTGGGATAGATTGGGATGGACCATAAGCAGAGAAATACTCTGAGAGCTTTCAGGCTTTCCCCAAGACAATTAGGTTGGGTGTCTCTGCGTGTGTGTTTATATGTTTGCACACATGTATTTACATGATATAGGCAACCTGCTAATTCAGCTTTCTTTCCTTTTTTTTTTCTTTTAAGCACTGTGCTTGTAAGGAAGAACAGTAGAAGCATCAGATCAACTCCTCGGTTTGATTCCGGTGTCCCACCCCCCCATCCCCTGTTCCTTCCTAAGGGCTTTCCGTTGTCAGAGGATGCAACATACTTTCTGATATTGCTCACTCCTTTGCAATTGTTTTTATTGTGTCTTCAGAGTAAATTGAAAACATGCACAGGAAGTGTCTTCAGAGAGTCGATAACTAGGGACTCTATTTCTAAAAGAAACGGGAGCTCGAAGCTTCCCTCCTCTTTTTTGGCAGAATTTTATACCATATGAACTAATGTCAGCGGGAAAGATTTTCCTTCCTCTTCCACCCCCACCCCCCCATGTCACGCTGCATTGCAGAAATAACTGCACATTCTCACAAATCCACACACGTTTTTTCCCCTCAACAGAGGAGGGAGCTTTGAGATGCTTTGGCCATGCTATGATGGATGTCTTCATTCATTCACTACCTTCGAGCACATTAAGAACTGCCCCCATCTCCAAAAGTCACATTTTGCATGGCTACTAGTTTACCGTATTTATGGTGTATGAGTCATCAGGCTTCCTCCGGATTGGCTGAAAACTGAACACCCCCGGGATTGTCAGTCAGTTCTCAGCCATTCTCAGCTTCATTCACAGATTTATTTAGCTTGCACACAGTGAAATTCATTCAGAAAACTTCATTCATAAAAACCTGCAACCTCTCTCTGTTCTCTCTCTCTGTCTCTCTTTCTCTCTCTCTTATAGAAATAAGCTACCATGACCTGGCGATTGAGAAAAATCTACAGATGACTCATTAGGCTGCCCAAGATGCTCGGCTATAATCTTTCCATTGATAAATGATGGTGCTGAAGGTTGGAGGTCCAGTTGAGCCGGATCATAAACCTATGAGGACTGTTTGGGGGAATATTTCCGTGCAAAGCGATCTTTCCAGAATTCAGAAGGTGGTTATGGTTGTTGTTTTTGTTTGTTTGTTTAACTGATGCAAACGGAGCCTTATGGACCAAATGCTTTAACAGGGCATATGTCCCACCTCCATGTGTATGAATGATTCTTAAAAATTGCAGCTAAGTGCTGTTCTTTTCCAGTAGAAGAATTCAGTTGTTTATATATGCTTTTGGTTGTGTGTGTTTGTTTTTAAATGTAGGTTGTTGCTGATGAAGGAAACTTTTGAGTTCTCTCTTTTGGTTTGGCATGACATAATGTTTTCTCTTTCTCTCTTTTTATTTCATTTTTAACTGCAGCCTGGGCTTTGCTCTTCGTGATACAGAGACAGGGCAGGGAGTCTTCTGAGTCGAGGACGTCGCTCGCCTGCTTCAAGATGTCGGGGTGAAGGAGAGTTCTTCAGAGAAAGCAGCTATAGCTTGAACTGATGCTCACCTGCCTGCACATTGGCTTCAGTGGGGCTTAAGTTCCACATCGCCAGATGTCAGGACAGAATGAAAGTGGGTTCACAAAGAGGAAGAAGCCACATGGAAACCTGCCAAGAACCTCAGCAATGGCCAGATCTGCTTTTTTCTTCTTCCTTTTCAAAATTGTTCTGGTTTGCTTAATTCCATATTACTTTCTCTTATTCTTGCGAAGGCACCTGGCTTAGGGGGAAGAAAAAAAAAGGAAAAGAGGAAGGATTTATTAACAGAATTTTGAAGGCTATGAGAGAACGCATTCCACCCAGCCTCGGTGGACATATACAGTGTGTAGGACCATCGACTGACCCAGGGATGCTTCACCGAGCCAAATACAGTCGTTTTAGAAATGAGTCCCTCACGCCATTGGAAGAAGATGCACTGGGCGATGCTCTCCGTCTCAAAAACTCTTCCTCTTCTCATTCCTCAGCCTCTCTCGGGCCCGCTGAAGACGTCGCGGTGGGCCCTTTGGACAGTGCTCTGCCGTTGGGTGCCTTGATACCTCGCGTGGCTAGCATGAAGCTGGCCAACCCCTCCACCCTACCGAGCTTGAAGAACTTTTGCCTACGGACTAAAGAGGTGCCGAGATTGAAACTCGCGGAATGCGTCGCGGTCCCCAGCGGTCCAACTTTGCCGGAGATCACCTTGACCACTTGTCTTGCCACCACGTCTTGCCCCCAGGGAGATCCGGACAAACCTTCCAAGGCAAGCGTCAGCATTGAAGAGGCCAGATTCTCTTTGGCCCCCGAAGACTCTGCCTTCCTCCCCAAATGGGACAAAGATCTCGGGCAGAAAGGAGGAAGCTCCGTGTTGGAAGCCGGGGTATCGTATGCCGTCCGCGTAAGTCGCTTCGTTTCTTATTGGTTGAAAGGATTTCGTGATTGAAAATATATGTCAAGTGTATATATTTTTTTAAAATAATAATGATAACAAGATCACTTTTGAATGTAAGCAGTGTGTTTGAATATTGTCCAGAGCACCCTAAGAGGATTGGATCTGGAACCAGCATTAGAGAGTATTTTATTTAACACTGAAATATCATAAACGGGATTTTCTTAAAGTCATACAGGACTCTTCCTTGGGCTGGGCTAAAACTGGAGCCATGTGCTGGTAGAACAAGCAGTATAGAAAATCCAAGAACTGTCTGGTAGCCATTTCTCTATCGAGATGGAAAAGGACCACTGATTCTACCTCTCCTGCAGTAAAACATAATAACAAGACACCAAAAACTGATTCCTCAAGATTTCAGCTCTTCATCTCGGAACTTTAATTATTTATCCTGCAGCTTCCGTGTTGAGCTAGACTTACTTTCGGCCTTCAGTGTTTTGCCCCTTCCTGTCCAAATGCTGCAGCAATGAGTCTGCTGAAGAGTCCTGTGTGACCCAAGGAGCTTGCCTCTTTATCCCCCCCAACCCACTTTTGGACTGTGCACATGCCTGTGTTTCTTCTTGGTCTGTCAGAGTTTTCGAAGCCCTTCGCTTCACGTTCTCTCCACCCTCGTCACGGCCCTGCAAGACGGTGCCAGGGTCGCTTTCCTCTTGAGATGGAGACTCAGGGAGGGTTTGCTTTGCTTTGCAGCGGCCTTCTGGATTAGCATGAGTCGCACAGGGAAACTCTGGATTCCCACCTCCTTTGCCGGGCGTTTGCTATGCTAGCCCTTAGCCCTCCTCGTGTTAAAGGTACCAGTTGGATTAGACTGTAAAAGACTGAGGGAGGAGGAACCCACACAATTTTCTGGGCATCTTTTCCTGCACGTGAACAGAGATGAGGCTGTGGCCATGTGGACCCACGTGAGAACATTCTGCATGCAGGACAAAGGTGGGGTGCAGTTATTTTAAAACCAGACCTAAATCGGATCCAAAACAGGGCTGGTGTGCTATTTTTGAGCACAGTGGCATCGTGAAAGACTAACAGCTTTATCTCAGGATGAGTTTTCGTGGGATAGAATTCACTCGCTGCTCAGGGAGGAGGTGTCTGAGGGAAGTGGATGTAGCCGATGGAGGCTCACAACGAAATAGATCTCTTCATCTCAGACACTTCTGATTTTATTTGCTTTTTGCTAGGCATGCAGGACCTCGGCAGTTGCTTTGAAAACTATTACATTCATATAGAAAATATAAAGGCAAATGTGTCATATAAGGTCACAGTTTTAAGAAAACCAAGCTTTTTTTTAATGCTGAGAAGCAGTTGTTTTATAAGACTAAAGCATCTGGATGCAGGCGTGAATCATGCATGCTCTGTTAATGTATTGGCCCTAGGCTGCCCTGAATCTGATCGCTTCCCTCTCCGGCCCTACGAGGCCACTGTTAGGGCCGGCCCTGTCGTTGGGCAAAGAGAGGCAACCGCTTCAGGCAGGAAATCTGGAGCATCGCAAAAAGGCAGCAACTGCTCAAATTCTTTGTTGCTCCAGGTTTTTTTACTGCCAGGGGTGTCGTAGAGGCATCTTGTGGGATTTTCTGTCTCCTGGACAAAAATAATTTCCCAAGATTTGGGTATCATGCATCTTTGGCTTATGGAGGGGGGAGTAAGTTTGGTTTTGTTTCTCTGTGTGTGTGTGTGTGTGTGTGAGTGTGGGTTTTCAAAGCCTCAGTGTGTGGCTCTGTCTAGTCCCAGCAGACGCCCGGACTCCTTGTACGTATACTCTGTTTGAAAACAGTTGGTGCCCTCGATAGCTGGCAACCAAGGAAAGGAGCGGGAGGTGTCGCTTCTAGCGGGGGCAGCCAGAGGCAAGGGCCAAGGGGTAATTTCCCCCTCCTTTGAAAAATGACAACTCTTTCTTCTGGCGTTCCTCTCAGGCCTGTAGGATAAAAGTTAACTGTGGCTAAGAATGAAAAAGAAAAGGGGGGGAAGGAAACAGTTGGAGGTGGATTTATACAATAGTAATAATCATATAATAATAATCGTAGAACAGCAGAGCTGGAAAGAACCCCGTGGTTCATGGAGTCCAGCCTCTGCGAAGGAGGCCCGTAGTCGGGGGACCCAACTCCCAACCTCTGGCTCCACGGCCGCCTGGCCTAAACCACTCCACTTCCCAGCTTCATCCCTGGGAGGCCAGGGGTAACCGGTTAGGGTTTCAGGCAGCCTGTCCGGTTCTATTAAGTGCCTCACCTAGACTTATTGCCGTCGTCCTTAACGCAGCCCCACCCTGCACAGAGCAGAGGCGCTCTTGCCCTGGGGAGGGTGTTAGCGGTGCAATAAGGCGCCTCTTGAGCAGGGACAAGGTCCTCTGCCTCTCCTGTTCAGAAAAGGGCTAGGGGGCGCTGGCTGGACCCCCGTGTAGCTGCTGGTGAGTTAGAGCAGGCAATGCTGGGCGAGCCGTCCGGTGGGATGCAGAGTGGAGCAAATGGCTTCAGGCGGCGGATGGGAAGGGGTCAGCCTTGCAGCCACCCTGCCGGCGGACCTTCTTGAGCCATCCCCTGCCCTCCTTTGCCCGCTCTAATTCCCCCTCCAGCGGATCTTGGTTCAGGGAGGAAGAGCCGGATCCCTTGGCAGGTGGCTGCGCTTGTGGTCTTTTCCTCTTGGGCCGCGACGCAGGATGGCCCTGTTGGCTGGCAAAAGCCTTGAGCCCCTTACTGGAGATCCCAGGGGGTGGGGGGCACGCGTCTGAGGATGCACGGTCATTTCATGGGAAGTGCTGACCACCACCAAACTCTTATCCTTCAACAGGTGGCCAACGAAGGCAGACTCTGCTCCACGCTGCTTGGTGCATCAACAGTTCCTGCCTCTAATCCCCCCCACCCCCGGCCATTTCATCCCAAGCACGAACATCTTGCTTTATTGTTCGTTCTTTTGTGCATAAAGCTCATTATTTAGGTATATAGTTCCGGTGGAATTCCCCGTCAAAATTAACACATCTGTTGGTCTGGCTAGCTTTATTTATGCACACAGTTTCCTTTCTGCTTCCTGCTTCAGTAGCTTCTTCAGAACCACACTTTCCACTCTCCTCCCACGCCCACGGTGGGCCTTCCTGTGTCGTCTTTTGCTTCTGCCCTGGTGCAGCTTCTGGCCTCAAATTCACGCTGGGTTTTACACATCTCAAGGGGTGGCCCATAGAAATATTAAATTATGAGTATTTTAATATAAAGTCCGTTAAGAAATAACACATACACAAACCCAGCATTGGAGAGAAGGCAACACATACCGGCGTGGCGAGAGCACAGCCGACAAACGCTCTATGCAGCTTCCCAGTGGGGATAAGTCTGCTCCGGGTTTTAGATGAATTTTACAGAGCTGTCCAAAGTGCTGAACTGGGTCCAAGGCTTGGGAACCATGTGTAACGTGTGGGGGCCTGACCTGCAACCTGTGACTTTTAAAAAAAGAAGTGATATGATATGAAATGATATGAAAAGCCTCCCTAAAGGGAAACGTTGTACATTTTCCTCTGAATTGGCAGAAGGGAAGGAGTCAGGTGTAGCTCCTCTGAAAGCTGATTCCATAAAGTTGGAGCCACTGTGGAAAAGGCCCTGCCTCTACTAGCAGGCTTTCCGGTCTCCTTTGGGGTAACCACACAGAGGAGCCTGGTCTGGGAGGATCTGGTGGGTCGGGGAGATAACATTGGGGTCAGACGCTCCAACAAATCCCGTGGTCCCAAACCGTGAAGAGCTTTGTATGTAACGGTCAGAACCTTGAACCTGATCCAGGACCCAACGGGTAACCAGTGGAGGCGAGCCAAAACTGGAGTAATATGCTCACATTTGCTCTCGCCGATCACCAGTCTTGTTCTGGACTGACTTTAATCTCTGGGTCATCTTTAGGGAAAGCCCCACGTCGAGAGCCTTCTTCCATCCCAAGCTATTCTCTTAATTGTTTAGCAAGAAAAAGTGGATTTCATCTGTTCACCTCTGCTATGAGGCCAGGAGAGCTTCTGAAACTATTCTACACACGTGGATCAGTCTGTGTACAAAATGAGCCGTTTTCTAAAATTAGAAGAAGTAAGCTTGTCCTCCAGATATTTCAGTCTCTGCTGTTCGATGCAAATGAGGAGGGGGGAAGAGAGAGAGAAAGAACAGCCAGCATGTGAGGGAATCACAGCTTGGCAGCCGTTCCTGGCTTGACTCCCCCAACGGTATTTCTTCATTCAGCTCAGCCAGATTCAGTGGAAATGGAGCCGTAGGGTGTGCTCAGCCCGCCCACATCGCACCAGAAAGGGTCCCTGTGCTGGGAGCAAACCCTTCCCCGCCGAGAGCCACCCTTTTCTTTGGGGGGGGGGATCTGCTTCAGGAAAGTCCCACCACCATCACAGAAAGAGAGAGAGAGAGAGTCACTCTACCACCAGCTTGGCTACAAACTGGGGGCCGGGCTGGAGTGCTATCATGCGGTTGCTGGGAAATAGCTCGGAAGACCCCTTCTGTTATACCTGGGCGTGGAGTGCAAACATGGAAGATTTCAGAGGGGAAGTTACTTTGCTCTTAGAAGTTTCTAAATAGAGTGGTGCCTCGCTAGACGATGATAATCCGTTCCACTGAAATTGCTGTTTAGCGAAATCATTGTCTAGCGAAAAGCATTTCCCCAGTGGAATGCATTGAAACCTGTTTAATGCGTTCCAATGGGGAAGAATCGTTGTTGTCTAGCGAAGATTGGCCATTGGCTTTGCGAACTGCCGATCAGCTGTTTAAATCGCTGTCTTGCGAAGCTTAGGTCCCGAAAACACCTGTTTTGCGAGCGCGGAGGAAGCTGTCAAAATCGTTGTCTAGCGAAAATTGGTTTGAGAAGCAGAGACCAAACGTTGTCCAGCGAAATTCCCCCATAAGAATCACTGTGCAACAAGTCAATGTCTAGCAAAAAAACTGTCATGCGGCGTGACTGTCTAGGGAGGCACCACTGTACCTCCCCCCTCATTTATACCGCTCGTTTTTTCTCTTGAGGTAACCAGGTACAACAGCCATTAAGGCCTCGAGCTAATCCTGCATCGCATCCCCCGGTTGCTGCTGATCCCCCCCCCGCTGCCCCTGCCCATATCCTGGTCTCTCCTGGGAAGGAAATGAGCTCCAGTGACTCAGTGCTTCTTCGGCTCATCCGTGATTCTGGGGTGGGGTGGGGTGGGGAGGGAGGGATATTTTTAGTGTCTAGATCCAGGGCCCAGGGTGCAAACATTTAATCAGAATATCCGGGTGATGGTAGCAAAGCACCCTCTGGAGCACAGGTGTCCATTTGGCAACCGCTGGGCGCTCCCGCTCGCCTCCGAGCGAGGGAGGAAGGGAGAGTGGGCCGCAGCTGCTCCCTCCATTTCCTTTGTGATGACTCCTGATGACTCACGAGGCTTGGCATCTGGTGGGCAATTGACCGGGCACAGAGGCCAGGCATTTGTGCTCGGTCCGAACCTCGCCAAGCTTCGCCCTCCACCCCACATGCTGGGAGATGCTTCCCAGGCAGCTGCTTCTCTCTCTCTCTCTCTCTCTCTGAAATGACAGATACACATGCAGGGGTGCTGCTCAAAATGAGGACCATGGCACACAGGTGGGGGAGGTCTTAAATTTCCCCCTATAGCATCCCACCCCTACATTCACTTCTCACCCCACAAGCAGAGGGACCAGAGGAACAAAAAGCCGATGGAGGGCTATGTGTTCTTTCTTTCCCTTTTAAGCCTCGTGTGTGTGTGTGTGTGTGTGTGTTTTACATTTCCTCTATATGTCCACCACCTGGGATTGGGGTCCTGCATGCTTAAGTCGTAGGTGAAAAGTGCTGTACAGTTAACAAAGCGCATCGTTTGAGTGGGACCCCAGCCCCAGGTTAAATAGCTAACTGCCTTGAGAAAGCTCTTTTTTTGCCTCTTAATAATAAGTGTGTGCCATCAAGTCGCTTCTGACTTATGGCGACCCCTTTATAGGGTTTTCTAAGTACAGTACAGTAGAAGATACTCAGACGTGGTGTCCCATTCCCTTCCTCTGGGGGGGCGCGCCCTGGGACTGTGCCGCTGGCCCAGCCCAACTTATATGCCGCCCACTCTAATACCTTTGGGCTTTAAAAAAATCCAGTGAATGCAGACAACCTTCTGGATTAATTTACTTCCTCTACTCAACTTTTTTTTTAAAAGTAAAAGTGACCCTGGTGGAACAGGGATAAGATTAGCTCTCTTCAGGAGAATTTATGGCAATCTCCTGGTATTGATTTCTGTTCTCTCTCAACACTCTTCCCCACTGAAGTCTTGGCTCTGTTTAGCTTCCCACGCATGTATTTCAGGGCGATCTTACTCACAGTCATATGATCTCAGCCTATGACTCACCTAGTCTTCCTAATCTTTTGCTTTATCAAGGATGGTGAAGCACAGCCGGCCTCTTTGCAAGATTTCTGCTCATACGTGGAAAACACACACACATACACAGAGAGAGAGAGAGAGAGAGAGAGAGAGATGTATAAATACACTTGTCGCTAAAGGATGCTTTTTCAGAGCACAGACTGTAAATGTGGCTTAATGGCTATTTAACCTCCATTTGCAAATATGTGATTTGTGATTTGGTAACATGTTGGGTTTCTTTTTTCTTTTTAAAGTTTCTGCATCTTCACCTCATGCATCGTTTTCTCCAACTCTCCAACTCTTTAGACCCGGGAATTGATGGCAGGATTTCTACTTAATGGAATGGTTCTTTCAGAACACTCTCTGTGCCCAGGGTTGGTAATCACCCTGGATCAGAAATAAGGAGGGACTCTTGCCCGCTGCCTCTCCGGAGGCTTGCTGGGGAGGGAAGAGAGTCCTTCATTGAAAGGGCTTCCAGGGGACGATATGTACTTATTTTGGAAGGCCTCCTCTGGTTGAATGTGGCCTTCTGGGCACATCCTCACTGCAGAGTAGCTAGAGGTTGGAGTAGAGATTAACGGATGATTCGAAGAGGTTCACCCACTGAATTCTCTGGAGGTGTGGCAATTGAAACACCATTTTGCTTCCCTGGTGTATGCAGGATAATATGAAAAGATTTTTATTTTGGAGCGAAAAGTACATCTTGGAGCTGTGCTTTTGGCACCGCCTTCTGTGTTTCTGCCTTATGGATCATGGTTTTAAATTGAAAGAGCATGTTCTGTAAATATATTCTGATTGAAGCCTCTTTATTTTTTTTAGATTACTTTTAACAGCTGTGATTTCCCTCTCTTTCTCTCTCTCCATATTTAGTATATGGGCTGTATTGAAGTCTTGCAGTCAATGAGATCTCTGGATTTTGGCACTCGGACCCAAGTGACTAGGTAAGTGGCTATAGACGGATAAGAGTTCAGCCTATCTGAAGGGCACCAGCACAGGTGAGGAGGCCTCTGCGTAAACCTGGGGAGGGCCTGGAAAGAGAGGCATCTTCCTTTATACAGAGCGGGGGCAGGATCTGTTCTCGATCATCCCCGAGTGCAGGACATAACCATGGGCTCAAGCGACAGGAAGCCAGATTTGGGTTGAATATCAGGGGAAAAAAACTCCTTAACTGTTAGAGCAGTACCACGACAGAACCCATGATGCTGGAGGCATTCAGGAGGAAATCGCACCCCCTTCTGTCAGATCTGCTTGGATCAGAATTCCTGCCTCAAGCAAGGGGTTGGTCTCCATGGCCTTCGAGGCCCCCTCCCCACTCTAGTGATTCTGTGATCTTGCCCTATCCAAATGTGAGCCACTGGAGCTGGGGTGGTGGAGGAGGAAGAAAAGACCTGGGTAGCAACATTACATCCAACTCCAAGCCTGTCAGAAAGGTCCAAGCCCTGAAACAGGATGCTGATGGTTAGGCTGATGCCCTTCTGAGCCTAGGGAGGGCCCACAACCAAACTCTTCTTGGACGGCGTCCTCTGAAGCTGACAATAGATGCCCCTTTTTAATAGGTCACGGGTATGTGCTGGAGATGTCGCTGACCGTAGCAGTCGGTGGGCAGCTTATACCGCTGCTGATGGCTCCGATGGCCCTGGGGTGGGTGTGTCGTGGCTTGTACTGAAGGCAGTGGAAGGTTGTGTTCCATGAAGTCTGAGGTTTCTATATGATGAGCCAACAAGAGCCTGAAGCTAAAGATATAATTCTATGAGTATTATACTGGCTGTCACTCACCAGACAGATGAGCCTCGTAAAAGTCTCCATTTGGGAGGAAGTTGTAAAGACCGCACATGGTTCCAGGGGGGCTCTTTCAACCTTGAACTAGCTTGCGCTGTGATGTCATCAAGAGAGTCCTGTAACGTCCTGTGAAACTTCTGCAAGCTGGTTTTCTTTTTTGCCATCCTGCTCTTAAAAGGAAGTGTGTGGTTTCCGAATTGAAAAATGAGCGCTGTAGAGAACTCCTGGCTGTCTCTTTTGAAGGGTTTTTTTTTGTGGGAGGGAGAAACCTCACCTGTCTTTTACCCTCAAGAATTCGCACTCACTTTCTGACCTCGAGAATATGGAGGAATAGCAGGGTGGGGTTGGTGTGAATTTCTAGTGGGTGCTGTAATTCTTCATTCTCAAGTTCTACTTTGAGAGACCGACCTCTTAGGGAGACCTCAGTGTGTTGCTCACCTGGGAACAAAGCTCAAAGAGAAGACCATGACTTTTCTGTTTTCATAATGAATAGAGAAGATGCTGAAATAAGTTCAGAAGAAAGCACCTGGTTATTCAAAAGGGCTCTTTCTAAGCTGAAGCCAGGCCTTTAAAAATGAATTGTTGGAAGCTTAAATCATTAAAGCTCTCCTCTGCTATGCTTTAATGCAGCCATAAAAGGTGCTCAGCCTTGCCTTGCCTTGCCTGGAAGCTTTTGTGCTGTTGCAATTAACTTATGCATCCCTTAATGCAAAAAGGAAGGGGGAAAAATGATGGCATATGCAACAGTTTAAAACATTTTATGTTTATTTTCTTCCATATAGTGCTAGAAACAAAACCCATATAATTCTTTAATTGCATTTTCTATCCATTTGCATTTTGGAAAAAGAAAAAAAAAATGAAGGCCATTCACCCTTTAAAATATAGCTCTTTGTGTCACGTTACATAGACGCGATGCAACCCAATGTTGCAGCATGAAGGAGAGGGGCGTAGCTGGAGTCGTGAAACGTTCACCCAATAGCTTGTCGGACATGGGTAGCCAGTCTGTTGTTCCTGAAGCTCTTCCAAAACCAACCATCGATAGCACAGCAGGCACACCCGTCAGCACCCGTCCCAGATATCTTGACTGAAGAACTGCACCCACGGGAGAGAAGCTTGTCAGGAAGGCAATTCCTCCAGGAGCTACGGAAGGCCTGAGCCTGTCTAGTGGGCACGAAGTGCTGGGGCACCTTCGGGGGTGAGACAGCATCTTGGAAAACCCATATTCTTAGCAAGGATGGGACCTCCGTTCTCAATTCTGAAACTGTTTTTCCAGAGCTTGATTCTGGGGACTGTTTGAAAACCACAGGAGGGAGAAGGGAGACGGGTGTTCGGTGGCAGCCTCCATCTTTTCCTCCCTTGTCCGAGCCTCCCGGTCCCAAGCGTGCCTCAGAGCGCAGGTGCTTCTGCTGACTGGTCTGCCTTGTTCCCACCTGAGCATCCTCTGCTGTTTTAGACGACTGGGAGACGGACGTGGCAACCAAAGGGAGATCCATCCGTTGGCGTGGCTGTGCGAAATGTTGATGTTCGCCAGGCGAGCCGCTCAGAAGAGCAGGCCTCTCTGAAGCTGTGGGCTTGTCCGCCGAAGGAAGGCTTGGCCTTCGTGAGGAGCAGACCTTTGGCTTGGTCCGGGGAGACAGTCTCTTTCTGTTCTGGGGGGGGGGAGGGCGAGGCGCAGGGCCTCCGAGGCTTAAAAACCAATGTTCAACAGCTGCCTTGTTCTTCGACATCAGCCCACTTTCCTTGCTCTCCGTCTCCTTCTGGAGGAACAATGAACAAGACTGGCCCCTGTGGCTGCGGGCGGGTGGGCGGGAGGCTCCCCGCCACAACCACATTCTTCTCCATCAGCTGGCGAGCGGAGTGCCGCGCTCGCTCGGGGCTTGACGCCCAAGAAGGCTGGCCTTGTCTTGGCGCACGAACGTGGCCGGCTCTCTTGCTCCTTCGGAGAACCAGGCCAGGGTCTCCAACCATTGGGGTGGCCCCGTTTCTATGGTCAACGTGCCACATTCCGGCTTCGCTAAACAGGAGCAAAGTGTCTGGATAGGTAGGGTGGCAGTTCTAAGAGTCCGAGGCTACCATTTGCACATCATGAGCAGAACATCCTTTGAAAGGCGGAAGACTTCTTAGCCTAGCCGGGGGTTGCCTTATTGGGCAAGTGGCAGATTAATTTGGTTCGGTTTTGTGATTGGCTGTCTCGGCACGGTTCACATTTTAAAATCTGATTGCTCTTTCTTTCTTTCTTTCTCTCTTTCTCTCTCTCTTTCTCTCTTTCTCTCTCTCTTTCTCTCTTTCTCTCTCTCTTTCTCTCTTTCTCTCTCTCTTTCTCTCTTTCTCTCTCTCTTTCTCTCTTTCTCTCTCTCTTTCTCTCTTTCTCTCTCTCTTTCTCTCTTTCTCTCTCTCTTTCTCTCTTTCTTTCTCTCTTTCTTCTTCTTCTTTTGGCATCTTGTGAGGGCTAGACACTTCACAACGAGGGATGGGCCAGCTCAGATCCTTTACCTTTGCTCCTTTACAGACCATCAAAAGAGTCGCAAGGAGGTAAAGGTTTGGGCTAGCTCCATAAAAGTTTTCTGCTGGATGATAAAAATAGCAGAGACCGCTTGGTAGCAACGTTGACCTCTCTCAGGCTCTTGTGGAGGGCCGGGGGGACTGGAATTACTGGATCGGCTAATGACTCCTGGAATTCTTCTGTTTTTCTGCTTTCAAGAATGAGGACCCTTGTTACTGGGTTTGCTCTTGGCTTATTCATTTTACCCAGAGCAACTGAGCGTTCCTTTATTGCCCAACTTCACTTTGGCCCTCCCTTTCCCTGGCAAGTTCATTCAGCTCCTCTCTGGGCTTGAGATACATAACAAGCTGCTCTGTTTCATCCATGTTCGGGCCCCTTGTCTGTGCTCAAAGAGAAGGTCTTGGTGTCTTTATAAAGGGCAATTCAGCCGCTTGCCGTCTGGCCAGGACCGTTTCCCCCAATTTCTGCAGTGTGGGAATTTAAACAGAACTTCAACAATAACTATAAACGTGTTTATATCGTCCTTTTCTACTTGGAACATACACGGGGCATGGCATGGCATAGCCCAGCATAACATTATAAGCAAGAAAAATTGCAAATTGAGCAGCAAACATTTCTGAAAATTCATAGCAAACAAACAAACAACCAAACTTTACAGCAGAGCAAGAGGTACTGAAAGGGAAGAGTGTTTGATCTGATGGCATGTAGTAGCTTTAACCAAAAATGATAAAAGAATCAAGCAGAAAAAGAAATATGATCTACTCGGTAGGATACATTAAAAGCCCATAGATATAAAAGTGTCTTTATTTTCTGGTTTATTTATTTTCATGACACCCAACCTGAAAACGGAAGTTGCCGTCTAAGATAAGAGGAATGCTAACGACTGCTGGGCATTGATTGTCTGTTGATGAGAACAGGCACATCTAACTGTTGATGACTTCACCAAGTGATTGCTTGATACCAGCTGGAATGAGGCTGTTTTACTTGCAAATGTTTATGAGGGCTTATCTGTGTCTTGATGACTGCTTCTGGGTCAGTTCGATGTGTGGAATCGTTTTAAGGAGCCTACATGCCCACGGGTGTGCATGGCAAGCATAGGCAAACAGCACGCCAATAGAATGCCTTTGGACTCAACTCCTTCCTTGCAAACTGCAAGATGGACAAGGAAATGATTGCATCCGTGCCGGAACAGAGGATCCAAAATGATCCTGCTATCAGGCGCCCTTTTGTTGAACCACCGCTTGGGAATGGGGGAGGAGAGGGGAGAATTCAGCATGCCAATTTGCTATCCGGCATGCCTTTGATATGTAGGCCATTAAATGCCACACGTACTTTATTAGCCATCTGCCTGGTTCACCCCCCACCCTGCATTTCTTTTACAAGCTGCACACAGAGAGAATTTTTACCAGAGAGGAAGGCATACATTTCAATTTGGGTGGGAAGGAAATTGGATTAGCCCTTCTTGTCCTGTCTAACTTCCATCCTGGCTGATGGGAGGTTCCCAGGGCCAGGGCTGACTGGCTGAGAGCTCCAGGAACTGCCATGCTCCCCCAGATCTCTGGGTGAGGAGACGGACTGGGGAGAAGCTGCCTGGTGGCTTTAATGCCTGGGCGCCCCCCTCCCGAATGTTATCAAGGCTCACTGGCAATGGGTGAAGGTGCTTGGAGGTGTTTTGCTGCAATTGCAAAGCGTCTTGCTCCCTGTGATTTGTGGAATCCAATCTGGGGTCTGCCCCTCGTGACATCTGCAGGATCTACCCCTTCTCCTTGGTCCTGACATTTCAGAGAACGGGAAGCTGCTGATGTGGTAAACCTGCGTCACCAACTCCTGCCTATCAGGAAAAGCAAAGTATACTGCTTATAGACCAGTGTTTAGGTGGCTTACAATTGAATTTTGCAGGTTACACATTGTCCCCCCCCCCGGTAAATTGAGTGCTCAGTTTACTGACCCCAGAAGGATGAAAGGCTGAGTCGACCTTGAACTAGCCACCTGAGCCTGTCAGGATCAAACATAGGCCACCAGCAGAGTCTTGACTGCAGGACTGCAGTTTAGCCGCTGTGCCATGAGGCTCAGGTAACTTAGGTGGCCCAAGAAAATCCACTGAAATGCCATGTTAAGCAAGGATTTAACATTTTTTTAATCCAAATCTACTCTGGCATTGAAAGAAGGGAAGGACGGTGAAACCCATCACATTATTGGAAACACTTCGATAGACATGCAAAGACACAACAGTGTTCTAGCTCATTTTAACATAGATCAATTCCTTGGATAATGGTTTTGCAGCATGACATTTAAGATCATGTTTACTGATACCTGGGAAAAAAGCATCCCTAAAGTTCGGCCAATCCGATCTTTGCAGGCTGCTCATAGCCATTTTCTGCAATTGCTTTTCCTCCCCTGGAGCTAAAGGTAATTTAAATCTTCAACAGCTGTCCCATGCACTTCTCTGATAGCTGGAAAAGCCTTTCTAAAGAAGAGGAGTCTGAAAAGGCAGACAACGTGCCAGTGTTTTATAGAAAAAATAGTCTTTGTTGATAAAATGATTAAAATGACAAGGCTGGCGGGGGGGGAATGGATCCTTTGTGAGTTTTTGAGTAGAGCAGACCGGATTTGGAAATAGTGGTTAACGTTTGTCACGTTGTCTTCTCGCAGAGCCATTAGGTAAGCAGACCGGATTTGGAAACAGTGGTTAACGTTTGCCACGTTGTCTTCTCGCAGAGCCATTAGGTAAAAGGAATCCTCAGAAGGGCGGCTTGTTGGCTAAAGCTAAGGCTGAACCAGAAGCCCTGTTAGGAAAGGACGCACCAGGATTTGAGCGCTTCTAATCTTTTTGTTTTTCATGGAAAGGGAAGCAATAAGTCGGCTGTGTGAAGCTGTTCCCGGAACCCAGGGGGCGACGAAAAAGCGAAAGGTAAGACAGGATGCCCCTCTCATTGGCTGGGATGTCGTTGATTGCAAATCCTTATTTTCTATCATTATCCTCCTTTATTTTTTTTAATCGTCATAATAATTTAGAACGGAAGATGTGGAAGGGATCCTGTGGATCATGGAGCTCAGCCCCTTTGAAGGAGGCACCGTGGGGGAATTCGAACTCCCAGCCTTTATCTCTGCAGCCAGAGACCCAAACCACGGAGCTGTCCAGGAGTTCGTAGTCTTCTGTCCCTCGTGTCTGCTGCATTATCTTTATTTTAATAGCTGTCGATCTAGATAGGATGCTCTCAAACAAGTAGTCTAAGGAAACATAATCCCCAATAATAATAATTGCATGCCATCAAGTTGATTCTTAGTTATGGCCACCCATTTTAGGATTTGCCCAGGGAGAGAACACTCAGAAGTGGTTTTCCATTCCCTTCTTCTGGGGTCGCCCTGGGATTGTGCAGCTTTCCCGAGGACCCACAGGTTGGCTCTTTGCCCAGGAGGCTCAACGGAGATTCAAACTCCCAACCTTTGGCTCTGCAGCTAGATACCTAAACCACTGAGTTATCGAGCCAGCCAATCCGACACACAATTTCTCTTAACAACCTCAGCATCCCCTTTGTCTTTCTGAAAGTGTCCGCACAGTGCGATATTGGAACTAGTCAAAAGAAAGGAACTGGGAAGGATTCCCCTGTATTTTCCTCTCCTGCTGCTAGTATTCCCCTGTATTTTCCTCTCCTGCTGCTAAGAAGAAGTTCATAAGCGAGCCTCCTGGAATGGCCACCAGGCTACTTAGTCGTAACGTGTAATGCATGGGAAGGATTCCCCTGTATTTTCCTCTCCTGCTGCTAAGAAGAAGTTCATGAGCGAGCCTCCGCCAGGCTACTTAGTCGTAACGTGTAATGCAGTGGGTTCTTTGAAAAGTAACCTTCGGTGCTTCAACATTAACGTACACCCTTTGTGTTGCTTTTACAGCCTCCCGCTAAATTTCTCTCTCCTGTGCTCGGTAAAAGTAACCTTCAGTTTTCTGGCATGAATATAAAACTGACCATCTCAACCACCAGCCTTTCTCTAGTGAATATTGAGAACCAACAGGTAGGTCGACACATGCTGTTTCTCATGCTTCATCATCCACAGCCCTTTGGTTTGGTTCAAGCCCCGTGGGAGGCAGAGCGGGTGTATCAACGTATCCAACCCTAAGCGTTCATGTCAGAATTACTTGTTCAAATGCTTCCTTTCCAAGGAGTTCTAGACTATGCTGGCAAAGGAGCAGGTCTGTATTTACCATGGAGTGGGCTTTAACTCTAACCAGAACCACCTCCGTTCTAAAGGAATTCTTCTATCGGTTGGCCACCTGTGGCGAAGACTCAGTCCAAAATGTACAAATCAGAGCCAGCTTGTGAATGTTACATCGATCATGGTTGGATGTTTTTGGGATGGCTAGAATGTGGCCTTAGTGAATTCATTATCTTTTCCAGATTATTGCCAACCACCATATGCAATCCATTTCGTTTGCTTCTGGAGGCGATCCTGTAAGTAAATGTAAAAAACCTTGTTGTTTTGGGAAGAGGTTGCTGTGTTAGTTTGGGCAAGCCTATCAGGCAAAATCCAAGGAAACAGAAATGTTATTGTCACGTGTTGGCTTTTCAGTGTCCCGTCCACTTTCTTTGAAAGAAATAGTAAAGTCTGCTGTAAAATAGCTTATGATCTCTTATTTATTATTCAGTAATAGGCTTCTTCCATTTTTTTGCATTTATTGTCTATTACAGGATACTACAGACTATGTCGCCTACGTTGCTAAAGATCCAGTTAATCAGAGAGGTAGGCACCACCGTTTGGAAGGATGCTGCATTGGTTAAAAAAAACAAATCTCTGCTCATTTGACAATGGTGGCCACCTTCCTGTCCTCTCTTGTTGTGGAAAATTTAAAAGTAATTTAAAAGGCATACATGCACATTTTAATCTGGATTGGGACTGCAGCCCATAGAAGGAGGAAAGTTTAATTTTTTTTACCTTGTTTGGTTTTCTCATTGATCCCTTCCCTCAGAAACAGCTGTTGGTCCTAGGAAGAAAGCGTTGATTTTTGTCTGCGGTTCTTTCCCTGGGGATGGTGGGAAATGGTGTGGGAAATGCTTCAACTACTCCTGCTTCATGCCGTTGCTGCAGTATGGATCAGGGCTCCTGGAGATGCTATTAAATATTGCCTTGGTTCTCTGTTAAAGACACAGATGTTTCCTTGCTTTGGGCCCATTGTGATGGGAACAGGCCAGAAACCAAGCTGAATACACGCTCCTGTCTTGCATAACTTTTACAGCCCTTCGGACTATTGCTCTGTTAAGTCTTTCCTGATGCATGAAATCAATTAATTTGTCTTCCAATACTCCCTCCTCCCCGGAACCATTTTAGCCTGCCATATATTGGAATGTCCCAGCGGAGTGGCCCAGGAAGTCATAAACACCATCGGACAAGCTTTTGAGCTCCGCTTCAAGCAATATTTGAAGAATCCTTCTGCTGTGATGGCTTCCAATGAAAGGTCAGCAAAGGTCATAGTTCCCAAGGGCTGCAGATGATCATTGCTTTCCTGCTGTTTGTCCTGAAGGTGTCTTCAGAGCCCCCGTGTCTCTGTAAACTCCCTTACCTTGTTCCTCCCATCAAGAGAGCTTATATATATTGCTGCCTGTTTCCCACCACCCACCATTGAAAAGATTTCTGGATTTTGCATTTCTTTTCTTTCGACTGTGAAGCCATTCGGGGTGTTCTGTGGTACCTCTAGAGGTCTTGATTTTCCTTGATGTCATTTTGAAATGTCAGGAAGGTGGAACAAACACATTGTATGTCTTCATTGATTTCGTACAGAGAAGTGGTGAATCTTGGTGGCTCCACATGGAACATTCAGGAGAAGGAAGCGCATGAATACTATAACGAAATCCCAGGGAAAGAACCCCCTGCCGGTGGATTGCTAGATACCAGAGTGAAGGTATGCAAAGAGCGAACTGTCCCATGGGCGAGACTGTAAATGGTTTACATGTACTTCCTCTGGCATTTGACCTTCTCTGTATTAAGAGGAACTCCATAATTACTAGATAATCACAGCTCTCTTACTGAGTGTTTTGAGTCTGATGGCCATTGGCTGATACACTTACCTATCAATCTATTAGATCATCAGCCTGGTCAATGTGAAGCTCCCTGCTTGCCTTCTAGTGTTTTTTGTTTGTTTTAGAAGTTGTCCATCTCTGACCCTCTGATTCTCCTGCCCTTCTGAACTCCAGCTTTTGCTGGTAGAACCACAGGGGAGCACGCCAAATCAGCAGCATTGTGTAGAATTTAATTCTTGCTGCTGAATTTGGCTCACTTTAGTTTGTAATTTGAGAGATCACCCTAAACGTAGCCTTCCAGGGCACAGGTGTCTACTGAGTTGCTGAGGAAATTCATTGAGTCCACATAGTTCTTGACCGGTGGCCACTTTTTGCCTTAGAGCAAAAATGGTCGCAGAAGAGTTTTAGAGGCCAAAGAGGAAAGCAACAGATTGGATCTTCCTGGAAATTATCACCCACTAACATCTTGCGTGGTTATTTGCTACTTTTTTTCAGACTGACAGCCCAAAAGCCATGAATATTTATGAGAATTGCCCAGAGGACAACACAGCAATGGGTAGGTTACTTGTGGTTTCTATGAGTTAATTCACCCCTCATCTTAACAGATGGCTGGGAATGAGCCTTGTAAGTCTAGTAAGCTATTTTAATTCTTTGTAGCTTTCCATCTTCTGAGATGGATGCTATTCCCACAGTTTGTGAAAATTAACTCTTTTAGACAGCAACTTCCAGAATCCCCCAACTGGAAGGAGCAAACTTTCCACGATTATGCAACAAGGAACATTAATGAATTGCTCCCAAAACACCATCATGAGTATTAAGAAATTTCTAAGCTCTTCAAATACTATGAAGATGTGCTTTTAAAAAGAGAAGAAGAGCCAAATATGTTACTGGACTCATTACCTTGTTCCCATAAGCTATGTTGGTGGATCACCGTCTTCTACATTTCATTGTGATTTTAAACTTATTCATTTCAGGGAATGTTTTTCTGTTGCAATTAAATGCAGATCCTTGTGAGCAAGGGAAGACGGCAAAAACAGACGCTTCCCTGCTGAAAGAGGCAAGCAAAATGGATCTTTTTGACGACCCCCGGTATATCAATACCCAGAACTTACAACCTATGCCTTGTACTACCACCGGAAGCCCTGTTTCAGTTGAGCCCTGCAGAAGTTCAATTCGCCATTCAAGTACGTAAGTCGGTGCCCCTGCTAATCTTACCCCTGGGGCTTGGGAAGAGATGCAGAACTTTGGAAGTAATGCAGTGGGCGTCCACACTCTGCTAAACATCTCTGTGTGCTGAAGAGCCATGGCCAGTTCAGAATTAATGGGGAACAGCAGGGCTAAAGCAGGCAAAGTCTTTCAGGAACATGGGGTAGACATGCAGGAGTCATTCTAAGGAAATGACATATGACTCCAGCTTGAGGCACACAAGTTTTAAAGTTTCACAAGAAACAAACACGAATAAAGCAGCAGGCCCAAATATCGTCCACTTACACAATATTCTAGCATTTATCCCCCCCTCCCCCTGACAAAGAGCCATAATTTAAAAATGGTGCTTGAGAAACAGGATGAGGATAGAAATCATTCTTTCCTCTTATCCAACACAGAGTCAGCCCCATGAACCAGCAAACCAATTCCGAAGTCCAGAACTGTTTGCAACACAAATTTTGTGCTGAATAAAAGGGTTGGCTTAATAAAGATACTACCTCGATACTGACCCTTCCCCGTCACCCTCGCTGTTACTAATGTAAGGCCAATCCTCATGAGAGTTTTGCTAATTTATTTATTTCTTGGGGAAACAAAATCTTGCAAGGAAGCAGATTTTGGCTAAACATTAGTAAGCAAAAACATGTAGTTCTCACGGGATGTAGTGCCTTTTCCGTGTGCTGGAGGTGTTCAGGCAGAGGCAAGGCAGGTAGAAGATGAAGGATGCAACCCACATGTAGGCGGTCAACATGACCTCTGAGACAAAGCCGTCCATTGTGACGACCCTGCCAATTGAACACATTTTTGGAAATGCACTAGGTGTATTTCTTTTCGTTGTATTTTTTAAGCAAGAGAATCATTTAACAAGTTATGCCCTTACAGCTAAAGGTTCTGCATTATCAATCTGAAACACTCCACTGGATGATGGAGATCCTAATGACTAGTAACTCTTCAAAAATTATTTGATCAATATGCCTCTCAGTTCTGTTGAATGGGTAGGTGGAGGAGGGAGGCCAACTCATCCCGCCTGGAGATTCTCTGTCTTTATCCTGGTTATTTATCACACATCCACAGGAGGAAATTAAGCTAGGTCTCTCTCTCCATTTTCTTCCTTTTAATTTCAGAATCCTTGGAAGCTGTTGCAGGAGGTGCGGCTGATGGCAAGCCACAGCTGTGGACTCAAGACTGCTACCACGGAAAGTTAACCAGGAAGTCAGCGGAGAGTCTTCTAGTGAATGATGGGGATTTTTTGGTGAGGGAGAGCACCACATCCCCTGGCCAGTACGTCCTGAGCGGTTTGCAAGATGGACAAGCAAAGCATCTGTTGCTGGTGGACCCTGAAGGCAAGGTAGGAGGAATAACGGGCATGGATGCCGCTGTGACAGCAAGAGGGCCAGGCCCCTCAAACTCTGCTGGATGCACTCGACTGCCTGAGGCTAAGAACGCGATGCCGCCTCCCCTCCTTTCTGTGCCTAGAAGCCAAAGGGGTGGATTGGCTTCCACAGCAAGACAAGGGACGGGTTTCCTTTGTCCACCCAAGGGAAGGCAGGAGAGTTTAAGAGGTGCAAGGAAGTGGGAAGATACGTTCCTCTTTTTCTACCAAGGAGAACTTGGGAGAACTAGTCAGGTGGGAAGCAGCGGCCATGGCTGCCTCCCTCAAGCATTTCCCACCCAAAGTAAATGACTGGTCAAAGGACGGTAACCATCCATGGATGGACCCCCAGAGCAAAGGGGTTGCTGGTGCCCAGCGGTAGGGCTGGCCTTGCCTGTTGCCTCCGGCCCATTCGAAGGAGCAGCAACCAAGGCGGCTGGAAGGCCCAGCACCGCGGACAGCTCCCCGTGGGAGCCCCTGGTTCTGAAGAGAGAGCCAAGAGGGGTGGGGTGGGAGGGAGGGAGAGGCCTCCTCCTCCTCCTCCTCCTCCCCTCACCCAGAATGGGGACCGGACCTATACTTTTCTCCGCTTTTAACTTCTTCCCACCAAGCGGGAAGCTTTCAAGCTTTTAATCCCCTTGGATGTGGGGGGGGGGCTCCCAAGGAGCTTCTGCCAGGCAGGTTACTGTCAGCTTCCTCCTCATTGAAGAACGGCAGAGCTGGGAGGGATCCTCTGGATCATGGAATCCAGCCCCTGTCCAGGAGGCACACAGTGGGGGAATCGAACTCCCAACCTCTGGCTCCATAGCCAGGGACGTAAGCCCCTGAGCTATCCTTCTGTTCATTGATGCACTGCTCCCAGG